TGATGATCTATGAGTATGCTTGTTTGAATTCTATAGATGTAAGCGTAAGAGTTGTGAAATTCGACCGGTAATTCATAATTGTAATTGTTGAAAACCCTAGGAAAACCCGACGTTTTCCTATCACTTTGCTTTACTTAGTTTGTATACCGTTGTTTCGTTGCGTTAGAGGAAACCGTTGAGCTCCGGAGGCATTGAGAATACAGTGGGTGGTGAAGTGTTGTGACGTGCGTTAATGAAAACGTCCAATCGACAACCTTACAAGCGATCCCTTAGGCGTCACTCGTAATTCTTCACACCACTCAATCCTCCCGGACTTGTGTAGTCCCACGACCGGAGGGAAGAAGAGAAGGTGCGAAACCCTCGGTATTTCCCCGCGTCGTTCAAGACCATTGCAATTGCGAAGGGCCCGAAGCCCAACCCGCAATCGTGAGTTACAGACTTTACTAGCAGCACTGAAGGACCCTTGGGGACCAGCAGCATGTTTGCCATTGAAAGTCCTTTTACGTTATGTCGGATCGGTAAAACCCAACACTTCGTAAGAGAGAGGTCTTCGGGCCTTAAGATCAGGTCATTGGGCTAGCTAGGCTCAACAAACAAGATTTTACACTTTTGGGGCCCAAAGATGGTGCGTAGACGTCTGTGCACACTCGCATGTATAGTGACTTCCCAATCGTTATTAGTTATGAATCGTAATGTCGTAATGTCATAGTGTCGTCGTGTTAGTAGTTTCGGATTGTTATTGGTTCGAGACCGAACCAATTCGTTTGACAACGACTTTTGGTATTGTAATGTATTGTATTTCGTCGATAGGCGTGGTACCATCATTTGGTCAAATTGCATGTATCGAACTAGCCTTGAGAATTTTCTGTTTTCAGTCCCTCCTTATTTGTAAAATTTACCCTTTTCACCCCTTTATTTAAAAACTTTCCGGTTTGGTCCTTAAATCAATTTTCTTGACATTTTAACACCAAAAATTATTGAAATAAGTATTTTCCAGCATATTTTTCATAGAAAACAGCTTAAGTCCTTGAAATTGCAGTTTTCTCGGTTATAACCCCTCTTTTTCGCAATTTTTACATTTTTGGCCCAATTTGGAAAATTTTTGCAACTTTGGTCCTTTTTAAATTTGAAAAGCATTTTAAACCTTTGAAAAGTACATGGAACACTTATAGTCCACTGTTTTACAGAAAAATGCAGTTTTGGTCCTCCAAAATAGAAAATTTCGCTTATTGGGCCTCATTGGGCCGAAAATGTCATATTTAGCCCAATAAGCTTGGAATTTATGTTTTTAACCCTCCAAATAGTATATTTTCAGAAAATACATTATGTAAACTGTTTTGACTCATCTCACCCATCAGATTTCGAAATATTTCATTTTAGGCCCTTCAACTTTGTATTTTCAACATTTTGTGTCAAAAAAATGAGTTTTTAGCCCAAATTAAGTGTTGTCAAGCCATTTGGCTATTTTTCTTAGTATACTTTGCATGTAATAGTATATTTTATGCTAGAATAAAATATATATCTCGGTTTTTAGTATTTCATCACTAGATCTAGCATCAAAATCATACAAAACATACATATAAGCATAGAAATCAACCACAACATACACATAATGATGGATCTACACCTTTTCTTGTATTCTCCCCCACAAAAACTTATAAAAACCGAAAATAAGGGGGTATGAAACTCACCTTTGGATGTTGATTCGGTTTTTGAAGAAAGGATGGAAGAAAACTTGGTGATTTTCGACCCTAGCACCCCTTGTTGAAGATCTCGAGTTTATGGAGTTCTAAGACACAAGTTTATGATTTCATGGAGTTAAGAAGAGATTTTTGGATATAAGAAGAAGTCTAAAGTGTGGATCCAAGTTTCAACTTACCTAGATGATGATCTTTGTGGAAGAACTCCCTTGAATTCCTCTTAGATCTTCGAAAATTTGGAGAGAAATGGAGAGAGCTCCTTGAGAGAAAAGATGAGTGAAATGTTTGTGTGTGTGTTTGGGATTCGGCCGAGAGGGGGAAAGAGGAAAGAAGAGGGTGGCTTTGACAAGATAGATGCTTGGAAGTATGAGTTGCATGCATGGATATCCATCAAATAAAAGTGAGGTGGCAATCCAAAGTCAACTCCTCCTTATTCTTGGGCTTGGGCCGAGAATGGAGAGGGAAGAAAGAATTTTTGGGCTTTTTGCCCCTAAGCCCAATATTAGAGTTAGTTTGGGTGATCTTTGGCCTTATAAGATAAAATTGTGATTTTTATGCTTTATTAAGCTAGATTAGGTTAATTATGGATCAAAGCTTTTAAGTCATTTCATTCTAGGCCCAAAATGACCCAAAATCTTGAATTAAATTAATGTGGGTCCAATTAGAGCCCACTTAAGGGTTCTAAGCCCATGATAGTCAAATTGGAAGCTTATTGGTCCATAGAGTCCAATAAGGAAGTCCTAGTCCAAAATGGACCTAATCAAGAACTTCTAGGGTTTCCAATTGCTTGATGTAGTGAATTGGGGTTTAGTTTTCCATTGAGTAAGCATCATACATGCTCTTGAGTTTTTGAATTCAACATTTACTTGAGTATAGTGATTACAAGACACAAAATTTCTAGTTGTGACAGAAACCCCGTAAACTTTATGAATTGTTATCTCCCTAGGTGAGTCGCTATAATCATACTGTGACTATATGAACCTGCCACAACGTTTCTCAGGCGTCGCGAAAATGAAATGACATTTGTCACCCGTAGACCTGCAGGTCCCACTGTAGCTAGCAGCAAGGTGTGGGGTGTCAAACCCAATGTAGATCTATATACAAGTATCACGTTCTCCCTCAAGGAGATTTTGATTATAACTACCAGGAATTATATCCCGCAGTCGGACGTACGGGGAGAGAGAGTCTCACAACATAGGTTAACAAGTTTACGTGAAATGTGTGTGGATTTAAATCTTTCTTGTATGAATGTACCCTTTTTGTACGAGTGTGTTGAGTGATGTATCATAAACTATACCTATTATAGTTTATCTAAAATGTATATAATATGTATGAATTCTTTTTATGGAAATGTATTAGTGTTGTGAATTTATCCAACTATACTTTTTATAGTTACATAATACGTGTTCTAAATGAATGAATAATATTTAATATGAATGACTTAGTTTCAGTTCATAATGATAAACTAACAAGGAAACACATTCAAATATTAGAACTTATGATTATACACTTTGCTCAACATATTACAAAGTGTTATGATATTTACATGCTGTTGGCTAACTTTAGCAATTCTGCCCAGTTTTGGAAAAATCATAGAAAAATCATACGAAGTCGAAAACTAGATCCGTAAATTCTGAGAGTTCACAAAATGTGTCTAGTTTACTCATAATTTTTATCACGATTTTTAATGACCTCCAACTTGGGTGAAAATGTCCATAATCATAGACTGGTCCGGATTGTTGTTTGAAATGATAGGCAGTTTTGTAAAAATCACCATAAATTGTAGAAAAATCGTATGGAGATGTGCAAGTAGTCATTTTAAAGCTACAAACTTGAACTATTTGCACCTTGTACAGTTTTGAAAACAAAAATGTTTAAGATGCCCAAAAAAGTCCGTGAATGGAGTTAAACTTTTCTGATGAAGGCTGTTAGAAAAATTTAATTATGTTCTTAGTGTTTTAACTTGTATTCCCCCCCCCCCCCTGAAAACTTGAGAAAACATGAAAATGTAGGGGTATGAACTCACCTTAAGTGATTTCAGTAGGTAAGTGTTGAAGAAGAGAAGTGTTCAACCCAAGAACACTTGAAGAATCACTTGAAGATTCGAAGATCTAACACAATTATGAGAGAGTTTGTCTAAGATATCCATGATTCGAGTGGAAATAATTGAGATAATCATAAAGAGAATGGATCATTCTTACCAAATGTGGAGGAAAATCCAAAGATCAGCCCTCAAATCTCGAGTTCTAGAGAGGGAAATTGAGAGAGAGAAAAGAGTTTGCTCTTTTTGGTTGATACATGTGTGGAAGTGACAAATTTTGAAAATGATAATGGTTACAATGTGGATTTGGGAGGAGACCATGGAATGCATGCTACCTTTAATGTGGGAGATCTTTCACCTTATCTTGATGATGATGGACTTGATGAATTGAGGTCAATTCCTTTCAAAGGGGGAAGGGATGATCCATGCATGGATCATGAAAGCCCAAAATGTGATGGATTAGTGATTACTAGTGGGCTAGAAGGTGGTTTGGGCTCAATGGTTGGGTTGTGCATGGTAACCCACAAATTCAATTAAGGTTGCATGAAGACTAGGGCAACATTTTTAAGGCTTCATAAGTGCTAAAAACGTTACTATTTGCTTCATAAAGCCTCCTAGCCGTTTTTGACACTCTTTGGTGGATTAGGGTTACACTTTAATGCTTATAATGACTCCTTAATGCTTCTTATGGCTCCTTAAGCAAGCATAGCCGTTTTTTTTCATTCACAAGTCTCATGGACGTTTTTTTTTGTGTTCTTTCAAGAGTTACCTTAATTTCTATTTACTAGTTTTAATGAATAATTGGTTGGTTGGCTTGTAACCACCAAATTTGTAATAAAGGCTTCATATAAAGCCAAATTATGCATGGAAAAAGTAATACACGAATTTTAATCAAAGAACCATTATTTTCACCTTGAATTATTGTTATAATTCTCAAATTATCTTGTTGGGACGTGTTCTTGACTTGATACGAACTCATCCAATAGGTCTTGGATTGTTTTCATCGGTATACAACTTAATAGGTCTTGAGTTGTTACTATACTAATCTATCTATTTCTTTCCATTCACATATCATTTGTGGTTGCTATTCTCTCTTAATTTACCTAAACACTACCCTACTCACTAAATCAAGCCCATACACGCATCATAAGTGGTATCAGAGCCCAGTTTCAATTGGGTGTTGTTGTGTTTTTGTTTAACAAAAATCCTTGCTAAGTTTGTTTGATTTCACTTCCTGTTTAGAAGTTGTTTGTCCAAAAATGTTGCGCAAGTTATATGATGAAGAAGACATTAAGGAGGAAGAGGAAATTGAAGAAGTGGAGGAAGAAGATTTCGGTCCCATCTATGACACCGATGGGGAAGGGGAATTTGTTGAAAGAATTAATTTAGTGACTGGAGAAGAAATTGTTGAACACTCTAACCCTTTCTATGCCACTGATGGGGAAGACGACCATGAAGAAATTGAAGAAGAAATAAATTTCGTGGTTGGAAACAAAATTTTTGAAACAACTATGAAAGAAATCGATTTTGTTGTTACAAACAAAATTGTTGAAGAAAAGGTTGAAGAATCCAAAGAGGTGGAGCAGGTTCTTGACCACGAAGATGTGGTTGTGGTTAAGAAGGATGATGATACTCGTCTTATAACAAACCGTCTTTCTAAGAACCTAGAAGAAGGAGTGGCCCATCAAGTTCCAAGTTCCAAGCAATTACGAGGGAGGGAGTTCATAATGCTTGGATTCCTATTCTTGTGGTGTACCTTCAGTTGGGAAGCCATGTTATTGGAACATGTTGTTCATCAACCCACAAGTACAAACCATGATCTAATATTTCATATGGCCATTGTTAATCCTTTAAATTATTTCAAGGATAAATTTCTAGGTCCTAATGTTGTTCATGGGAGTGTACGAAAGTGGTTTTTGATCCACAAATGGAAGACACGGTTAGGATTTCATTTGGCGAGTTCTTTTAGCTATTTGAAGAACATGTGTATGTGGAGAAGAGACCAACTTGGAGTAAAGAAAAGGTCACATTCTGCAATAAAAATATGTTTTCAAGACCTGTTGTCATGGAAGGTTTGTATGGGAGAACAACAACATTTGGTTCTTACTGAATTGAGGACAATTCCTTTCGAAGAAGGAGGGAATGATACATGTGTGGAAGTGACAAATTTTGAAAATGATAATGGTTACAATGTGGATTTGGGAGGAGACCATGGAATGCATGCTACCTTTAATGTGGGAGATCTTTCACCTTATCTTGATGATGATGGACTTGATGAATTGAGGTCAATTCCTTTCAAAGGGGGAAGGGATGATCCATGCATGGATCATGAAAGCCCAAAATGTGATGGATTAGTGATTACTAGTGGGCTAGAAGGTGGTTTGGGCTCAATGGTTGGGTTGTGCATGGTAACCCACAAATTCAATTAAGGTTGCATGAAGACTAGGGCAACATTTTTAAGGCTTCATAAGTGCTAAAAACGTTACTATTTGCTTCATAAAGCCTCCTAGCCGTTTTTGACACTCTTTGGTGGATTAGGGTTACACTTTAATGCTTATAATGACTCCTTAATGCTTCTTATGGCTCCTTAAGCAAGCATAGCCGTTTTTTTTTCATTCACAAGTCTCATGGACGTTTTTTTTTGTGTTCTTTCAAGAGTTACCTTAATTTCTATTTACTAGTTTTAATGAATAATTGGTTGGTTGGCTTGTAACCACCAAATTTGTAATAAAGGCTTCATATAAAGCCAAATTATGCATGGAAAAAGTAATACACGAATTTTAATCAAAGAACCATTATTTTCACCTTGAATTATTGTTATAATTCTCAAATTATCTTGTTGGGACGTGTTCTTGACTTGATACGAACTCATTCCAATAGGTCTTGGATTGTTTTCATCGGTATACAACTTAATAGGTCTTGAGTTGTTACTATACTAATCTATCTATTTCTTTCCATTCACATATCATTTGTGGTTGCTATTCTCTCTTAATTTACCTAAACACTACCCTACTCACTAAATCAAGCCCATACACGCATCATAAGTGGTATCAGAGCCCAGTTTCAATTGGGTGTTGTTGTGTTTTTGTTTAACAAAAATCCTTGCTAAGTTTGTTTGATTTCACTTCCTGTTTAGAAGTTGTTTGTCCAAAAATGTTGCGCAAGTTATATGATGAAGAAGACATTAAGGAGGAAGAGGAAATTGAAGAAGTGGAGGAAGAAGATTTCGGTCCCATCTATGACACCGATGGGGAAGGGGAATTTGTTGAAAGAATTAATTTAGTGACTGGAGAAGAAATTGTTGAACACTCTAACCCTTTCTATGCCACTGATGGGGAAGACGACCATGAAGAAATTGAAGAAGAAATAAATTTCGTGGTTGGAAACAAAATTTTTGAAACAACTATGAAAGAAATCGATTTTGTTGTTACAAACAAAATTGTTGAAGAAAAGGTTGAAGAATCCAAAGAGGTGGAGCAGGTTCTTGACCACGAAGATGTGGTTGTGGTTAAGAAGGATGATGATACTCGTCTTATAACAAACCGTCTTTCTAAGAACCTAGAAGAAGGAGTGGCCCATCAAGTTCCAAGTTCCAAGCAATTACGAGGGAGGGAGTTCATAATGCTTGGATTCCTATTCTTGTGGTGTACCTTCAGTTGGGAAGCCATGTTATTGGAACATGTTGTTCATCAACCCACAAGTACAAACCATGATCTAATATTTCATATGGCCATTGTTAATCCTTTAAATTATTTCAAGGATAAATTTCTAGGTCCTAATGTTGTTCATGGGAGTGTACGAAAGTGGTTTTTGATCCACAAATGGAAGACACGGTTAGGATTTCATTTGGCGAGTTCTTTTAGCTATTTGAAGAACATGTGTATGTGGAGAAGAGACCAACTTGGAGTAAAGAAAAGGTCACATTCTGCAATAAAAATATGTTTTCAAGACCTGTTGTCATGGAAGGTTTGTATGGGAGAACAACAACATTTGGTTCTTACTGAATTGAGGACAATTCCTTTCGAAGAAGGAGGGAATGATACATGTGTGGAAGTGACAAATTTTGAAAATGATAATGGTTACAATGTGGATTTGGGAGGAGACCATGGAATGCATGCTACCTTTAATGTGGGAGATCTTTCACCTTATCTTGATGATGATGGACTTGATGAATTGAGGTCAATTCCTTTCAAAGGGGGAAGGGATGATCCATGCATGGATCATGAAAGCCCAAAATGTGATGGATTAGTGATTACTAGTGGGCTAGAAGGTGGTTTGGGCTCAATGGTTGGGTTGTGCATGGTAACCCACAAATTCAATTAAGGTTGCATGAAGACTAGGGCAACATTTTTAAGGCTTCATAAGTGCTAAAAACGTTACTATTTGCTTCATAAAGCCTCCTAGCCGTTTTTGACACTCTTTGGTGGATTAGGGTTACACTTTAATGCTTATAATGACTCCTTAATGCTTCTTATGGCTCCTTAAGCAAGCATAGCCGTTTTTTTTTCATTCACAAGTCTCATGGACGTTTTTTTTTGTGTTCTTTCAAGAGTTACCTTAATTTCTATTTACTAGTTTTAATGAATAATTGGTTGGTTGGCTTGTAACCACCAAATTTGTAATAAAGGCTTCATATAAAGCCAAATTATGCATGGAAAAAGTAATACACGAATTTTAATCAAAGAACCATTATTTTCACCTTGAATTATTGTTATAATTCTCAAATTATCTTGTTGGGACGTGTTCTTGACTTGATACGAACTCATTCCAATAGGTCTTGGATTGTTTTCATCGGTATACAACTTAATAGGTCTTGAGTTGTTACTATACTAATCTATCTATTTCTTTCCATTCACATATCATTTGTGGTTGCTATTCTCTCTTAATTTACCTAAACACTACCCTACTCACTAAATCAAGCCCATACACGCATCATAAGTGGTATCAGAGCCCAGTTTCAATTGGGTGTTGTTGTGTTTTTGTTTAACAAAAATCCTTGCTAAGTTTGTTTGATTTCACTTCCTGTTTAGAAGTTGTTTGTCCAAAAATGTTGCGCAAGTTATATGATGAAGAAGACATTAAGGAGGAAGAGGAAATTGAAGAAGTGGAGGAAGAAGATTTCGGTCCCATCTATGACACCGATGGGAAGGGGAATTTGTTGAAAGAATTAATTTAGTGACTGGAGAAGAAATTGTTGAACACTCTAACCCTTTCTATGCCACTGATGGGGAAGACGACCATGAAGAAATTGAAGAAGAAATAAATTTCGTGGTTGGAAACAAAATTTTGAAACAACTATGAAAGAAATCGATTTTGTTGTTACAAACAAAATTGTTGAAGAAAAGGTTGAAGAATCCAAAGAGGTGGAGCAGGTTCTTGACCACGAAGATGTGGTTGTGGTTAAGAAGGATGATGATACTCGTCTTATAACAAACCGTCTTTCTAAGAACCTAGAAGAAGGAGTGGCCCATCAAGTTCCAAGTTCCAAGCAATTACGAGGGAGGGAGTTCATAATGCTTGGATTCCTATTCTTGTGGTGTACCTTCAGTTGGGAAGCCATGTTATTGGAACATGTTGTTCATCAACCCACAAGTACAAACCATGATCTAATATTTCATATGGCCATTGTTAATCCTTTAAATTATTTCAAGGATAAATTTCTAGGTCCTAATGTTGTTCATGGGAGTGTACGAAAGTGGTTTTTGATCCACAAATGGAAGACACGGTTAGGATTTCATTTGGCGAGTTCTTTTAGCTATTTGAAGAACATGTGTATGTGGAGAAGAGACCAACTTGGAGTAAAGAAAAGGTCACATTCTGCAATAAAAATATGTTTTCAAGACCTGTTGTCATGGAAGGTTTGTATGGGAGAACAACAACATTTGGTTCTTACTGAATTGAGGACAATTCCTTTCGAAGAAGGAGGGAATGATACATGTGTGGAAGTGACAAATTTTGAAAATGATAATGGTTACAATGTGGATTTGGGAGGAGACCATGGAATGCATGCTACCTTTAATGTGGGAGATCTTTCACCTTATCTTGATGATGATGGACTTGATGAATTGAGGTCAATTCCTTTCAAAGGGGGAAGGGATGATCCATGCATGGATCATGAAAGCCCAAAATGTGATGGATTAGTGATTACTAGTGGGCTAGAAGGTGGTTTGGGCTCAATGGTTGGGTTGTGCATGGTAACCCACAAATTCAATTAAGGTTGCATGAAGACTAGGGCAACATTTTTAAGGCTTCATAAGTGCTAAAAACGTTACTATTTGCTTCATAAAGCCTCCTAGCCGTTTTTGACACTCTTTGGTGGATTAGGGTTACACTTTAATGCTTATAATGACTCCTTAATGCTTCTTATGGCTCCTTAAGCAAGCATAGCCGTTTTTTTTCATTCACAAGTCTCATGGACGTTTTTTTTTGTGTTCTTTCAAGAGTTACCTTAATTTCTATTTACTAGTTTTAATGAATAATTGGTTGGTTGGCTTGTAACCACCAAATTTGTAATAAAGGCTTCATATAAAGCCAAATTATGCATGGAAAAAGTAATACACGAATTTTAATCAAAGAACCATTATTTTCACCTTGAATTATTGTTATAATTCTCAAATTATCTTGTTGGGACGTGTTCTTGACTTGATACGAACTCATTCCAATAGGTCTTGGATTGTTTTCATCGGTATACAACTTAATAGGTCTTGAGTTGTTACTATACTAATCTATCTATTTCTTTCCATTCACATATCATTTGTGGTTGCTATTCTCTCTTAATTTACCTAAACACTACCCTACTCACTAAATCAAGCCCATACACGCATCATTGGTGAAAAGAGAGGAAATGAGAGAAATGAGGAGAGAGGGTGAATATTCAGTTCTCCAAAAACGTGGGGAGGAGTGATGATTGAGTGGAAAGGACATTGATGTGACCTAGGTAAGGTGGGGAGGTGTGGCTGGTCATAGAGTGGATGTGGGAGTGGTTGCTTGTGTCATAAAGTAAAGCAAAGTCAACACTCCACCTCTTTGTACTTTACCTACTTGCTCTTATTATTTAAATAAGGATTTTTATGAAAATATGATTAAATTGAGAATATGTAGGGTTTATTATGTTAAAATATGATTTTGGGTGAAAATCCCGCGTAAAAAAATAATTAAAAACGGGCCTTAAATGCAAAACTATGCGAAAACCGGGAAGAAAATGAGTTCCCAGCGAGACCTCTCGGTCCTAGGCCGAGGTTCGGTCCCTAGGCCGAGGCTCGGTCCATGCTGAGGTTGGAGTCTGAAGCGAAAGGCGCGAGTCAGACGCGAGAAGTGAAGGGCGAGGGTCCGGTCCGAAGGGTCAGTAGCGAGGGTGGGGTTCGGTTCGGGAATAAGAGGCGAGAATGTCAGAACCGAACGGACTGTAGTGAACAGTAGTGAACAGTACCTTCGGTTCGGTTAGTGAACAGTACCTTCGGTTCGGTTCCTCTTGAGCAGGGTTCGGTTTCGGTTAGTGGTGAACAGTACCTTCGGGTTCGGTTCGGCTCAGGAGGGTTCGGTTCGGCTCAGGAGGGTTCGGTTTAGTTCGGCTCAGGAGGGTTCGGTTCCTCCTTGCTCTCAGTCCCTAAGAGGACCTTCGGGTCCTAAGAAGCTTCTCTCTTCTCGAGAGGTTTCGGTTCCTAATGTCTATTTTTCTCGTTATTACCCCGTTTTAAGCTGTTTTTGACACGGTTAAGCGTCGGAATGACCCGAATGATTCTAAAAAGTTACGGGAACTATTTGAGAGAGATTCGGGAGAGGTTTCTCACACTTGGAGAGATTTGGGAGAGATTTGACATTCTTGGAGAGATTTCTCATACAAAAAGATATTTGCGAGAGTTTTCACATACTTAGAGGGATTTGGGAGAGATTTGACATTCTTGGAGAGATTTCTAATACAGAGAGATATTTGAGAGAGATTTCGCATACTTGGAGAGATTTGGGAGAGATTTGACATTCTTGGAGAGATTTCTCATACAAAGAGATATTTGCGAGAGTTTTCACATACTTAGAGGGATTTGGGAGAGATTTGAAATTCTTGGAGAGATTTCTAATACAGAGAGATATTTGAGAGAGATTTCGCATACTTGGAGAGATTTGGGAGAGGTTTGACATAGAGAGAGATAGTGTGGAAACGATTGAGAGAGGTTCCATGTGGGATAGTTGTGAGTGTCCGGCATCGAAATGCATGGTTCGTGAACCCTATTAAGCCTTGTTTAAGGATCTTACACACTCCCGATGAGTATGCAACATTGTTTTATCGGTCTAGTTCATTGATTAGAACTAGGGTTTAGGAAATTTTTAACACAAGACTTTTCTCAAGTGATGTTTTCCCATTAATATAGCAAGTTATACAGTATGAACATAACACAAACCCTAATACACAAGGTTTAATTGATTTGACCGGTCTTGACTTGATGACTTGACTTGACTCAAGATTGACGATTGTCACACCCACCCATCTACGTGAAAATAGCACACTATAGGTTGATATATTTTTGGACAGATTTTAAAAATGCCACTCTTAAGGGACATGTTTTTGACATAACAATCACAGATTTTGTTAAAAATATCAATACTTGACTTTAATGGAATGGTACATTAGGTTATATAAACGGAGGAACACTGTATTTCCATTCTTATATGTGTTGGTATTGTCTATTAGTTTTTTCAACTAACTTTAGTTTAGTCAAAAGGGGGTATGGTTGATTTGAAAAATACGTTTGCTTCTTAATTTGATATTATTTTGGCTTATTACTAGTACACTTTTTAATTTTTTATAGTTATGATTTTTTAAAACCACATTCAAATGGGTCTTGATGAACAAGTAGAAATGTTGAATAGAAGCTATAAGATGTATAGATTACGTGGGAAAGCAATGTTGCTCTTCAGATGCTCTTTGGTAATCCCATCTCTTTGGGATATATCTTTTTATATTTTTGTTACAATCTTATTGTTTTTTCTTTTTTAAAATTCCACTTATTGGGATGAATACAAATGTTGTCATCTCAATGGCTAAAACCATGTAAGATTGCCTTAATGCCATGTATGTGCTCTCTGTTATGATTTAAAGTTTGGAAAAATGTATCATCAAACTGTTTTTATGAGTTAAACCTTTATTTTGTTTCAGGTTTTACATAAGTTTTCAAATGTTGTGAGAAGCCTTTCCAAGAAGGTTACTACTTGAGTACTTGGCATCAGTTAGATGAGTTGTTCCTTGCAATATTAATCTACATTATAAGTTGTGTTTAAGGCATTTACTTGCTTATAAAGTAAGGATCTAAAGGTTGTTTCCATAACAAAACAAACTCTTTGAATCATAAATTTTTTTAGATGCAGATTCTTATACCCTTATGTCTGTTAATGGAAAGCCTTGGAATAATGTTTGCTTGAACAAAAATGTTTAAATGTCCAACACCAGTACAATCATTTAAAAAGATTTGTAGTACCTCTCCAACAAACTTCCGTGGGCCATGCTAAGCATGGCCCTTATACATCCCTAGTATATATATATATATATATATATATATATATATATATATATATATATATATATATATATATATATATATAAAAGAAAGGGGAGTTTCAAAACCTCATGGTGTTAATCCAAAAACTCCACTACCATTGACATGTCAGCAAGGTGAACAGCTATGTTCAATAGATAGTAAAAATAAAATTGTTTTTTTTTTGTTTACAGCTTCAACAAAACAATTAAAATTAAAATTTTATTTTACAAAACAATTAAAGATTTTATGATGAAAAAAGAAAGCTCTCCATGATTATGTAAGCATCTTCAGTCGAACTCAACTGCACCTTAAAGTTTTGAGTTATTGCCCATGCTTTGAACATATGTAGGGGTGTTGATCGGGTATTTTTTTCGGGTTTGGGTAATTCGGGACGACTAATTCGGGTTTTCCATGTTAAAAAATATACCTGTTACCCGACTTAAATTAAATTCGGGTAATTCGGGTTTGGATAATTCGGGTATCGGGTCGGTTTTAGGTAACTCGGGTATTCCCCGAAATATATAATTTTTTTTTTGAATTTCACCTAAAAACAAATTTAATGAAATAAATACGTCGTGCTTTATTAGTCTTGTTTATATAAACAAACGAGACATAAACGAAGTTACTCAAGCTTTGAACTTTTAGATTTTTTAGTCAATAATTCCTAAGATATCAAGTAATTTTTATCAACTTAATCTAATCTAATAAGATGTTAAAAAAACAGATACTTAAAGATCTTAATTTAAAAGTTTAAAATGTTTAAGATTATAAGATAATTATAGCAATAAGTTTTCTCATGTTCTGAAGTTTCGTCAAGATAATGAGTTTATTAGTTGCAATAAAAATTATAATCTAGAAAACAGTTAAATTTTAAAGAACATGATGATATATAAACAATTATCTTTAATATTGTTAGTGTTATATTGTCATAATAAAAGAAATTCATGTTTTACAGTAATGATACTTAGTTTAAGTGTGATCAAATATCTGCTATAGACAAGCTCTAATAATAATAATAATAATAATAATAATAATAATAATAATAATAATAATAATTTGGGTAATTCGGGTATACCCGAAAACGTACCAAAAAACGTAGCCTTTACCCAACCTGAAAAAAATCGGGTTACCTGATTATCCGAAAAAATTTACCTGATACCCGATACCCAAAAAAATCGGACGGGTAATTCGGATATCGGGTATTTTCGACAGGGCTAAACATATGTATTCTGATCCAATAAGATTACATGAATGAGTTAATCTTCAATAAAAATAAAAATGACAATCAAAATAATAATTAATTAAGCATTATTAAAATCGAATCGTATTAAATCCAATTTATGATAGAAAAAACGCATGAACTTCATGTCATTACCACTTTATTTTTTGTACATATTTTAAGAAATATTATTACAAATAGAGAATATCTATGCATTTTTTGTTGATTAAGATGTGAATACTATAGTGTGCTAAAATGCACCAATAATAATTTACTAAATTAAAATAATTATTTAATTAAATAAAGATAGATATTAAATGATTTATATAATTATATGTATATTAAATGATATCCATAATTATAATCCTCTTTTTTTAGAAACTAATTAAATTATTCATTAATGTCAGCAACAACATTCTTTTAGAATGAATTCGCATCTAAGTTTTTATATATGAGTTCGTGTTTTGTTTATGGACACACCCACTTAAAATACAACAAAGTTGCGTAAAATATGAAGAACAAAAATGTATTCTAGTAAAATACACTCTCATTTTATTAAAATATACTCTTATTCTTTTAGAACAAACCATCATTTTATTATAATACACTCTCGTTCTCTAGATGCGAATTCATTCTGAAAGAATATTATTTATGATATTAATGACGAATTTAATTAGTTTCCATAAAAAAAGAAATATAATTATGAATATTATTTAATATACATATAGTTATGGAAGTAATTTAATATCTATCTTTATTTTATTAAATAATAATTTAATTTCTACTAAATTCTTATTGGTGCATTCTAACACATAATAGATGTGAGAAACATATATATATATATATATATATATATATATATATATATATATATATATATATATATATATATATATATATATATATATATATATATATATATATATAGGAAGTGGTTCAAATGAGAACCATAAAATATTAAGAACCCTGAAAACCCCAATTAATTAGTAAATATTTACACGATACTCTTATTAAACATGTTAAAATCTTCTTCTTCTTTTTTTTTTTTTTTTTTTTTTTTTTTTTTGGTACAAAAAGGGCAAACTTATAATTTTACAGTCTAATATTTTCATTCATATATGCTCTCATATTTTAACATAAAACTTATATAAAATACAGTTGTACATAGTCCATTTATAGTTTAATTCAAAAAATTTACAACTTAATACAAATTGTTTTACAACAATTCACTAATTCAAAGAAGTCAAAAACTCAAACTCTACCACCACATGTCGCTACCAACCACCTGTATCAACATAGCAACCGTCATTTCTTCCAAATCAAATCTGTAAATAAAGTCATGTATTAACAACTTAAATACTATATTCACAATCTAATAAAGCCTATCAATTCACTTATTTTGAATTTAATGCAAAACAATTATAAAAACTAGTGGATTCATATAAATTTATACAACAAAAAAATAAATATATTCATAACAAAATTAACACAAATTCTATACATAAATCATTCATATTTTAACACAAATTATAAAAAAATCACAGTAAAATGCAGTCAATTCACAATTTAAACAAAAAATGCATAGTTTAATGTAGTCAAGTCACATTTTTAAACATAAAAATCACAGTTTAATATAGTCAATTTCACAATTTAAATAAATATTCACAGCTTAATGTAGTTAATATAAGTTTAAAATACAAAAATTATAGCTTAATACATAAAATTCACAGCTTATTACAATAAATTTATAGTTAATACCAAAAATATAAATCAACAACCATAATATCAATTTGAAACTCTTGATACAGATAATTTATATTTTAGTATACAAAATTCACAGCTTAATATAACAAATTCACAATTTAAAACAAAATAAATTTATATTCACAGTCATATATTCAAATTTGAACTTATATTTATACATTAATATATGGATGCATTTCTATGTATTAAATTGTCAATTTAATATATGAAGTCGTGAATAAAACTGACAAGATAATACACAATTCACAGTTTAGTATATAAAATTCACTGCTTAATATAATAAATTCACAATTTAAGACAAAAAAATTATATTTACAACCATATTTTCAAATTAAAACTTATATTTATACGTTAATATATTTAAACATTTTTATGTATTAAATTGTGAATTTAATATATTAAGTAATGAATACACCTAGTAAATATATTTTATGTTTAACCACAACCAATTTAAAGAAATCTAACATTCTTTTAGCACTAAAAGAAATTAAAATTCAAATTATCCCTATTTTTGGAATAATAAAATATATACATTTGAGAAAGAAAATTCAATTCTAGTAACGTATTCACCAAATTTATAACGTGGTTAAACATCATTTTCAATCCGTTTAGATTTGATTGAAATCCACATATCAAATTGTCTTTAAACTAGTTATTCAAACGATCACAAATTTAGAAGCAAATGATACATGCAATTACAAAATTAAACTTTCAAATTTTCTTAATATTGAATGCTAAAGCTTTTTCGTATATTTCTCTTTAATTCAACATTGAAGACATGCATTAATAATCTATATTTAATGCTTTAAATCGTTTTTTATGTAGAAACTAGAAAGTATATATTACTACATATAATAACTATATATTTTATATTTTGTTTAATTTAAAAAAAAATGTATTTTATCATCCGGTTAATATCATAAAAGATTATATATATATATATATTTCAATTTTTTTCTATTTAATAATTTTAGCAGTATTTTTAAATTTTATCAGTTGGTTTTTGAGTTGTAGTTACTGTAATAAACTAAAGTGAGAGTTATGTTTTGTACTTACCGCGTTGATTGCATCTATATAAAGGAGCGGTAAACTCTTTATTTGGGCTTCGGATGCACCTTCTTCCTCTCCTTCTGCAGGTAACCAAATCCTTCTTACTTCTTCTTCTTCTCTATAACGACTCGAATCAATCTTTTCTTTGTGCTTGTTCATCGAAATTGTTCAACTTTTTGTAGCTTATATGCTAATTTATCCTTATATGGATTTTGCTGGATTGCTTTCCCCCCCTTTAATTACCATTTCTATACACGATTTCCCCTTTAAATGATTCTGCAACTACAGATGATTTCAAGCAAACGAATATCAGATGTGTAACTTTTGTGAACAGTATCGAATTTTTTCATGGAGTTGGTCAATTGAGTTGTAAGGTGGTTGGGATGATCTAGGGTTTTGATTTGACATAGAGACATCAATAGCAACGACTTAATTATGAAGTTTTAATAATTTTATTGGTAATTCTCCTTTTTTTTTTCATTTTCGTGCTGTTTATGATATACAATTTGAGTTTCTTTGATTCTGGAATTGGTTCTATTGTAACTCAAAGCAATTCATACTTTAAAATTACAAAAATCGAAATGATACTTGTTGATTTATGATATTAAATTGGATTTCATTAGGGTTCATATCAAGCTGTAAGTAACCTTTTTTGGATGATTCAAGGAAGGTTTAATGTAATATCCGATTTCCTTTTTTCAAAGATTGTTTTGCTAATATCCTCCAAATGAAGAGATTGTTAACAAGTAATGTGTAATTCACTTCTTTCCTCTTCGTCTGATCTCACTGAATACACCTAGGAGTCTAGATCTTCTCTGTAACAGATTATTCTACATATTCTGATATGTGTACTCTTATTTCATTCAGAGTGAGAGGTTGTTTGTGCTTATCTGCATTGCAAGAACAGATGACAAGAGGAAATGGTGTTGGTGTCAAGGGAAATAAGCGGAGAAAGATTCAACAAAGAGAGGAATCAGAGGAGTCAGATGAGGAATATAATGTGGCTGAAGATGAAGATAGTGATGAGTCAGATGAGTGCTATTCCTTAGATGGTGATGAATCAGAAGAGATATTAGCTGATTTTGGAAAGTCACGGAGGGTTGCTAGATCAAGAAACACCCGGAGGACTTCTGCAGGTAGGAAGGGGAATGAGATAGCAAAGCCTCGTAAGAGGAGAAGGGTTTCTTATACAGGTGATGATGATGAAGATGATGAAGATGATGAAGAGTTTATGTCTTTGGGTAAGAAAGCTAAACAGATAAAGAAACCTAGGGAAAAGAAGAGGGTTTCATATACAGAAGTGGATGATGATGAAGAGTTTATGTCTTTAGGTAGGGAAGCTAAGCGGAGGGAAAAGAAGAGAGTTTCGCATACAGAGGATGATGATGAGGACTTTGGAGAATTTATGTTTGCAAATAGAAACCAGAGAAAGAAGCCTCGGGAAAAGAAGAGGGTTTCTTATACGGAAGAAGATGATGATGATGATGCAGGATTTATGTCTTCGGGTAGGGAAAGTAGCCGGATAAAGAAGCCTGTGGAAAAAAAGAGGTTTTCATGTACAAAAGATGATGATGATGATGACTATGCAGAATTTGTGTCTTTGGGTAGAAAGAGAAACCAGAGACAGAAACCTAAGGAAAAGAAGAGGGTTTCGTATACAGAAGAGGATGATGATGATGATGATGCAGAATTTATGTCATCAGGTAGGGAAGGTAAACAGGTAAAGAAGCCTAGGGAAAAGAAGAAGGTTTCATATACAGAAGAGGATGATGATGTAGAGGACCATTTGGAATTCATGTCTTCAGGTAGAAAGAGAAGCCAGAGAAAGAAGTGTCATGAAGAGAAGAGGGTTTCGTATACAGAAGAGCTTGAGGATAATGATGATGCAGAATTTATGTCTTTGGGTAAGGAATGTAACCAAGTAAACAACCCTAGGGAAAAGAAGAGGGTTTCATGTGCAGAAGAGGATGTTGATGATGATCAGGACTATGCAGAATTCGAGTCTGAGGGTAGAAACCAGAGAAAGAATAGGGTTTCAGATACAGAAGAAGAAGAGGACTATGCAGAATTTGTGTCTACGGGTAGAAATAGAACCCAAAGAAAGAAGCTTCAAAAGAGGGTTTCGGATACAGAAGCAGATGATGATGATGATGATGCAGAATTCATGTCTTTGGATAGTGAAGCTAACAAGATAAAGAAGCCTATGGAATTGGAGAGGGTTTCATATACAGAAGTGGATGATGATGATGATCTTGGTAATGATGATGTTGGTGATGATGATGATGATGATGATGAAGAATTTATATCTTTAGGTAGGGAAGGTAAACAGATAAAGAATACAGTTGCATATACAGAAGAGTATGATGATGATGATGTTGAGGTTGATGGTAGGGAAGATAACCAGATAAAGAACCCTGAGGAAAAGAAAAGGGTTTTATATACAAAAGAGGGGAATCATGATGATGAGGGAGACTATGCAGGATTTGTCTCTTTGGGTAGAAAGAAGCCTCAAGAAAATGAGAGGGTTTCAGACACTGAAGATGATGATGATGATGATGGAGAGTTTATGTATCCAGGTGAGAAAGTACACCAGAAAAAGAATCTTCGTGAAAAGAGGAAGGTTTCATACACAGAAGATGATTCTGAGTTTATTCCCACAAGTAACAAGTCAAACCCAATAAACGAGCCTCAAGAAAAAAGTATGGTTTCATCTGAAGAAGACAATCAGGAAGAGGAAGATGAAAACGATGCAGAATTCAAGTTAAGCGAGAGTGATTTTCTTGATGATGAAGACGAAACACCAAAGATGAAAAAACCCGATAAACCACCACAAAAAAAGAGTATCCGTGGAAGACATAAAAAGACCAAAAAGACAAAAAAGCCCACACGACCAAAACAAAGAAACCCCCGAAAGGTAGCTTCTACCAAAGAGAAAAAGACCAAAAAACCCACACCGGAATCCGATTCAGATTTTGTCAGTGCTCCATCATCCGACCATGAATACACCATCTCAGAAGAAGAAAGAGAACAAATGAGAGAAGCAAGAGTATACTGTGCAAATCTAAGAGCTAAATTAAGAAGCTCCTCCTCCCAAAATCAAGAAGAAACCCAAAGAAAATACCCAATAAGAAAAGGTAAAGAAAAGCTAGAAGAAAACACAAAAGACGAAATAGGAAAACAAGTTTGTGGAATCTGTCTCTCAGAAGAAGCAAAAAGAACTGTTCGAGGTGTCCTAAATTGTTGTCGCCATTACTTCTGTTTCTCATGCATCATGGAATGGTCAAAAGTAGAATCCCGTTGCCCTTTATGTAAACAAAGATTTTCCACAATCACAAAAGCTGCAAAATCCGACACTGGATTTGACTCAAGAACAGTTGTCATCCCTGTTCCTGAATGTGACCAGGTTAGTAATCTAATTATTTTCTGTAAGGGTAAAATAGTCATTTACTAAAAGAATTGTTTGTTGTTGACAGGTATACGAGCCATCTGAAGAAGAGTTGAGGGGGTATCTTGACCCATACGAAAGTGTGATATGTACAGAGTGTCAACATGGAGGGGAAGATGCATTAATGTTGTTATGTGACATATGCGATTCATCTGCACATACTTTTTGTGTTGGTCTAGGAAGGGAGGTTCCGGAAGGAAATTGGTATTGTGACGGCTGTAGGCCGACTGTTTTCGGAACCTTAAACTCATCGGATCCTTTACCAACATCTTCATCCAGATCTCCCGTTCCCGGAGGTTTCGATTTAAACGAATTATATGTTCCCGAAACGCCCCTCACACAACAACAACAACAACAACAACCACAACAACAACAACAAACACGTGTTTTGGTTTTACCCGAATCTGGTGACTTTACCCCTGCAACTACTTTAAGAGATAGGAGAAGAATACATCGCCAATACATCATCGGTTTTTGAATAATAACAGAATGAATAATGATTTTGTGAATCGAAATGGAGGAAGAAGTTCTTCTTCTTCTTCAGGGATTAGGTTGTTTGGGTCTCAACTTGATCAACCTCAAAGTCAAAGGGATGGTCATGTTGGTGTTGGTGCTGACGTGTCATTGGAAGGTGAACATGGTGGGCCCGGTTTGGGTTTGGGTTTTGATTCAAGATTGGGATTTGGACAACTCCACCCTTGTGCAAATAGGTCCAGCATTGGTTCTGATGCAACCCCGTCTTGTAGAGAGGTGAATGCAACAAAATACCATCATACTTCCATTTCTTTAAATAAGTTACATTTTTGGTTCTCAAGCTTAGCTGATTTTTTCAATTTTTGCCCCCCAAAACTTTTCTCTCGCTATTTTGGTCCTTATTTGAGGTTCTTGTAACATTTTTGGTCCGTATAAAAATGTGACTGTTTTTCGTCTTTGAGTAAAGCTGATTTTTGCAATTTTGGTCCTAAAAAATCATTTTACGTGTCACAAGGACCAAAACGTTATAAAAAACTTGAAATAGGAACCAAAGTTGCAAGAGAACTTTTTGTGACCAAAACTGAAAAAATCAGCTATACTTAGGGACCAAAAGCATAAAATAGCTTTGCATACAGATGAAAATTTCATATTTTTGCAGGTTGTGGGACCCTCAAGAACATCGCAAGGCGGTTTTCATGCACCATATTAATTGACTATTATTATATACAGCTGTCAAAGCTCAAATTTACTTGAAATATTTTCAAAAGCTGTATAAAAAAAAAAACAACCATTATTTCCAAGTTTGATTACCCTCCTCAACCACCGAAATTCATTATTCTGTTTCTCATTTAACACCATTTATACAGGTCAACCATTTTGATAAATATCTGATGTGTACGTCGTGCTATGGAATTTGTACCTTGTCCTGAGTTTTATATTTATATTTTAATATGGAAAAGGCCTACCAATAATCCATCTCAAAAGTAGTTGTATCCTTGTGGCTATAATTGAGCAGTTGAAATTTGAAAAGTAATGAAATTTTATAAATATGGGTAATGATTGATGAATGTGACAATATTATTGGCCATGTTCATAAAGTTTTCTATGCTATTCTGTGCAATAAGGTTGGGCGCTATTGGAATAAGATAATGCGAGGGTACTTTTTTAGATTTTAAAAAGTAGTAAGGTGGTTATTAATTTATTCTATAGGTTTATATGAAAAGGTAAGTGATAAATTAATAGTTTGATAAATATATGTTTTAAAAAAAATACTTAAAACTGATTGAAATAAAGTTTAAGATCGTGGCGATTTTGGGTTGTTGCGTTTTAGAAGTTATAATCACAAAAATGAGAAAAAAATTGAGATATGACTCATAAATAAATAAATAAATTGTTGAAAAAAATAAACATAAATGGATGGTTTTACCATTTGACCATCTTTTTAATAATTTATTTTTGGATGAGCTCGTTTAGCGAAATTGCTTCTATATTGGTATCCATTACATATTTAAAACCAATAAACATTTCTTTTTTAAAATAATGTAATTTAGACTAAGGGTATGCGCGGTGCGGTTTGATGCAGTTTAGGGTTAAAACCACAAAATGCACCACATGTGCGGTTTGAGATTTTCGGAAACCGCAAACCGCTTCGCGAAGGTTCTAAACTGCATTATGCGGTTTCGTGCGGTGCATGTGGTTTTGATACGGTTTGCGGTTTGATAATAACATTTGAGAATATAGATAAAAGTATATTTCATTTTTGTTTACTTTTTTTTTGATACGATCAAAAGAACATAAATAGAAAAACTCTTATTTTGGTCTCTCTCTTAGACTCCATGGAAGAGACAGGAGGTATAAGTTTTATTGTCCTTTTCTTTTTCATGTGTACCAACAGAGCACTGAAAGAAAAAATAATCAGAGAAGCCATGTATTAATATTAAATATAATGTTTTTAATTCAAGAAACAATCTAGAATGGACAAGTTCTATATACGACCAAACCTATGTTCTAATTAGAAATTTATAGTTATACCATTTCTAAGTAAGAAATCTAGGATTAATCACAATCTTGGATTGATCATAATCGACATTCCGAAAATGACTTTGATATATATATATATATATATATATATATATATATATATATATATATATATATATATATATATATATATATATATATATATATAAATATTTTTTCTTATGATTTTTCCCAAAAATTATTTATGACCGTTTCAAAAAAATTATCTAAAAAATTTAATATTTCATTTTATATTAAATCTGAAAAGAAAATCTTAAAAAAATATTATTTTCTACTATTTCACGTTTTTGTTTTTCAAAAAAAAAAAAAAAATGAATAGAAATCCAATCCCAACTCAGTACACTTCCAATCATAAATGAAAACACATCAAATTACAAATAATTCAATGCATTTTCATAAATTGAAAATAAAAAATAGTGTAAAAATTATCATTTTTTCCTAAAATGAATACCTCTAATCATAAATAAATACACTCATTCAAATGAATACACTACTATTCATAAATAAATACAATCATTCACACACGAGTATATTGCAATTCACAAATGAATACACTGTTATTTATAAATTAATACACATTCTATCATAAATGAATACACGTGCTATTCATAAATGAATACAACAATTCACACATAACTACAACGTTATTTATAAATGAATACACATGAATAAATTCATAGTAGAATGACCACAAAGCCCTGCATCCAAGAATTGACAAAATAATAAAAAAAAAACTTCATTTAAGGCCTGCCACATAAGAAAATCTTCAATCCTATCACCTCGCATATCAAACCAGACGCAGAATTCATCAAAAAAACTTATATATTCCAAAAATGCCCTCGCTATTTATCCTCCCTGTACAGTTAAAAAAATCTTTAATCCTTGTGACCCACCCATCTTCTTGAATCTGTGTCGACTAATTTGAGTCAACAAGAACCAACCCACAACCACCGCCGTAGAATTCTTAACCTTATTCCTAAAATACCCTTCAATCAAAAAATCCCCATATCGATCTCGCCTTGAACAATTAATTCTTCCCTCTTTCTCCATATAATTCTGATCCAACCAACCAATAAAGCCATCAGAAAGATCAAACCAAGACCAGACATGTTTAGAAAAAGAAAAGTACCAAAAATGCCCCTGGTTAATACCACTCCTAACCGAACGCACATAATCATCTACTTTTATTTTTCTTCCCACCACCAGGCACTTGCGACATCAAGAAAGCATCGACATCACCCAAACACCCATCTAAACCTATTTATTAAACTTCATTGATTTACATTCAAAATAAAAAGAAAAGAGAAGAGAATCATTACCGATCGAAGCAACTGCCCCATCGAGACCCCTTCCCTCATTCCAGTTGAGATAGAAGAAGCGCCCTACAACCATCATTGCTGTTTTCATTTTCTCACCCAACGATTGATCGCCTCCCCTCCTCGTGGCTACGTGACCACCGAACAACCCATCTGCTCATACCGTGTGACACCACCATGATACAAACAATAAATAGTTTAAACATAAGAACCATTATACTAATAATAAATAGTTTAAACATGTAACTGATATGTATGAAACATTATACATTCATAGATGATTACCATGATTATGTTTCGTATGTCATGTTTCTACTAGATATGATATATACTCTGTCCCACTAATCTTCCCTTGTTTATTCAATCGAAGCTGCAATAACCCTAACCCGTTAAAACAATGACTTGAATCTTGTGGAACAAATGACTATCTCTAGTCCTATTACAACATAAAATCCAAGAATTAGCTAGTCACTTTGCTGGTTTCCCAACCGCAAAAGACAATTAAAAACCTTCTTCTAACACATGAGATTTAACGCAGTTCTGAGGTTCAAAAAATTGAACAAAGAAATAACTAGTAAACCTGTAGGTTGATAGTGGGTTCGATATCGATTGAAGATCAGAAGGCGGCAATTAGCGCTGGTGACAGAAGATCGGGTGGCAACGTTCCAATATAGTTTGAAGATCAAGAGGCGGCGATTGGCGGTGACGATTGAAGACCAGGTAGCAGCGATTGAAGATGTCGAATGAAGTGGATGTCGACTGAAGTCAATGAGAAGAAGGGCTAAGAAATGAACGGGGATTGAAGATAGTGATGGTGACTGCAACGTGAGATGCAATGGTGAACAGATTTGAGTGGCGTATGGACGATGGAGGCGGAACTATTGATGAAGCCCTAGGTATCCAAGGCAGATATAAAGATACAGGAATAGATCATACTCCTATATATATATATATATATATATATATATATATATATATATATATATATATATATATATATATATATATATATATATAGAGAGAGAGAGAGAGAGAGAGAGAGATGTAATTTCAAATGAGAATAATTCTAAATTTGAGAACAAATGAGAACAATTTTAAATTTGAGAACAAATGAGAACAATTTTATACCACCTATTTGTTCAATGAAGAAAAAAGGTGCGTCGTTTATGTTTTACTTAACGAAAGGGTTTATGTGTAATTAAAATTTCTATTCTCCATGCTTTGCTTATTCTCGCACAAAGCAGCGACACCCCACTCCAATCCTTCCCTCCGCTCAATATCGCCTACTCCCGTTAATCTGAAAGACAGTCACTAGCGGAGTTTACCACCATTGGAATCGAGAAGCTGATTTTTGATGAAATCAAGAAGATAATTGAAGTATTGGATCGATCAAAAAAGGGAAAGGAGATGTCAATTGCTTAGATCGAAGGAACTGAAGCCCTTGTTCTCATGGAAAATTTCTGATAATCCATCACCAGGTGAGTACACTTATCGATTTGATTTCACAAGTTACTCCCAATTAATTATGAGATAGAATCCGATTATCTCTTTTAGATTGGATTCATGAATTGGTCTAGGGCTTAATGGAATCCTATTATCAACACCTAACTTAACGCTAGTTAAATAATCGACAAAAATAGGATCCTTATATGGTGAAAGTTAACATTGAGGAAGAGTTTTTGGTGTCACACACCAACTGTTTGATAAAATTCCTCTTAGAATTTTTCATAGTGGATTTGGATTCATGGATTGGTCTAGGGCTTAGTGGAATTCTATTATCAACACCTTAACTTTGAACCCTCATTAAGCCAAACATTAATGCCCTTAAGTTAAATTGAATTTCACATCTCTATAGCCTAATAAGTAACCAAAAATCATGTTAAAAGTGATAAACTTAAGACTTAACCATTAATTCCTTAATAGAACACCAAAAACAATTTAGAAGATATTATGATCAATTTTCCCAAATCTGTCCTCCAACTTCTAAAATCCGTGCAAGTAAATATGAACATCTAAAAATCATGAGATTTAGTTTTCTGGAAATATTAGTGTGTCTACTTTCTTCAAACTTTGAATCACATTTCGAAATTCCAAATCCTTGTGGGGTAAAATTGGTAATCTTCTCAGACTGGTCCATGCTGTCACAGATTTCATGCACTGTCTTCAAAAAATCATAATAAATTAATCAAAACTCCAAATGTCAAAATTCCAAAGCCTAAAGTTAGATATGGATGTATAGTTTCCAAAATATAAAGGTCCTGATGTAATTCTTAGTATATTGATACCGTTTATTCAAATAGTGTTGAGTGGTCCAAAAAATGACAGCTAAAAGTTACCAACTTGTAAATTTAATATAAAATAAGCCAAAAATCATTAGAATGAGATCTTTATATTTCTGAATAGATAAAAGGGGTAAGTTTACCAATATAATTTTATCAAATTTTAAAAATGGGTTGAAAGGTAAGAAAACATATCCCAAACAGTGGGCTACAATCAAAAAGAAAATAAGGAAATATGTACATAAGTTTTATAAGATTAATACAACAAACACAAGGTAAATAATGTTATAATTTTTGTGTAGGTACTCAGAAAGGAAAGGATCCATCTTCTTCATTCTAGCTAATTTTCAAGATCAAGGAGGTGAGTACTAACTCTCCTATTACGTAGGCATTACTTGTTTTATGTTATTATTCACAAATATCCTAATAACATGTAAT